TAACAAATAAATCTTGTTCATTTATAACGCTCATGAATTTATCACCTCTACTATCACTCAATCTACTAACACAACAAAATTATAAACTCAACCACCATATTTTTAATCCACCTTATTCCCATGTAATAAATACCTCAAATTAACAGAATACAATTAAATTCATAATCTTAAAGCGATAAATAAAATTAACTAAATCATACTCAGTTATAAAACTCGTGAATTTATCATCATTATTACCATTTAACCCCAAAATAACATAATATAATTATAAATTTAATCATCAAATTTTTAATCCTCCACAAATAAATATACCCAGAAACACACTCACACACATTTCTTTTTTGGTTACCAACAAATTTTCCTAACCAATAGTTGTTTTTATTAGAAATACAATAATTAAAGTTTGTAAGATAAAATAATAATTAATTAATATTTAATTAAAAAATAGAGTAAAAATTACAGACATAGCCTAAATTTTGGTTATATTATACAAACACCTTATGACATTTTATAAATAGCACGGAGACCCCTGATGTTTAAAATACATTGCACAGAGACTCCCTTTGTCTCCCTTTTGCTAATGTTGCTAACGAAAATTGATAATTTCATCTCAAAAAATTTTATTATTTTTACAATTGTCTTTCTTCAAACTCAATACCAAAAAAAAATTAAAATTTTAATAAAATCAAATAAAATTTGATTTAGTACCCAAAAAATTAATATAATTTAGTATTCTAAAAAATTAATTAAATAAATTTTAATATTAATTTGATATTAATTCGACAAAGTTGAATATAAATTAGACAAAATTAAATATTATTTTTTGATAAAATTATATATAAATTTACAATCGAAGGTTCATTTCGTGTTAAATATTATTTAGTGTTTATAGTCAATGTGCTATTTTTTTATTTACATTAAGTGTTATTTACAAATTAAGAAGCAAGTGGTAAAATACATGTTGTCAGATATATAAAAATTTTGAATTAGTTTCATGGAATAAATAATTGTATAACATATAGTTTCATCTATTTTATAGAGTAAATAATAATAAAAATAACACAGAGGAAACAAAAAAAGAAAAGAAAAGATAACTGTCTAGAGAGAAAGAGAGAGATGAGAGATGAGAGTCTTAGAGTTGTTAAAGAAATGAATGTCCAACTAAGACCATCGGATCAAAACGATCTGAGTCGCAAAAAATTCAAAACAAATAATCTAACTACTACTTATTATATAGACTAGTAATTACTCATGCCCGAACGTATTACGTTACTCGTAAAAAATTGTAAAATATTTTTTCATAAATAAAGACAATGTATAATACAATTTCAACAATATAACGATCAAATTGATATTGTTCAACCTGTATGCAGAATATATATAATCAAATTTTTATATAACGAAAGTCACGTTACAACTACTGTAACATATTAATTAAAAATTTTGAGAAAATATAATTATTATTGGTTAAATATCCACATTTTTAACATTTTTAATAAATTTTATCTCAAATTTCAAAAAAATATAACTATTAATTTATCTACAAGTTTCTACCTAAAGTTTATAACATTATCTCTACACCATTTTTCTAATTTGAGTTTGTGTAATTTTTGTGAGAAAAACATCCAAAAGTTTCATAGGATTTTTCGTAGATGTAAAAAATTTTGTTGAGTAATTAAAATCAATTTTCATTTGAGTTCAACTTAAATATTCATAAAATTTAATCGAACTTAAGTTTGAGTGGCAATATTCCCACCCAATTTAATTTTTTATTATCAAATTATTAAGTTCACTCCTTCTATATCTACCCCATTAGTAACTAAGTTCACCTCGTGCTATATACACTCCGTTTAATAAGTAAACTCACCTTATATTTTGTCTTAATTAGAGTTTCACTCTCTATTTCATCTGATGCACTCATAAAAATGTTTTTTAATATGAATTTTTTCAATGAGATACATGTTAGTATTACGTTTCAATTTAATTATATATTTAATTTTATGTTTGTTTTATAAATTTTTATTATTTTCGATATGTTTTGATATCTCTGTCAAGTTTAATAATTTTTTATTTAGAATATATATGTGTGTATGTATATATATATATATGATTTTTAGATTATTTGTCATTTTTTAAATCTTGTTTAGATTTTGTATCTATACTTTTCTTTTTTTTTCTTGTTCGATTTTGCATTTGTGCTTGATATTTTTTTTTATGTCTAATTTTGAGTCTTGTGATTTCACCTTTTGTACTTTTACTTGTTCCTTTAATTTTTGTTTGATTTTTTTTTTCCTTCTTATTTCGGTTTACTTCTTTCTTGCTTTTTTTTTTCTTATTTCGTTCTGTTCTTTTTAAAAAAGATATATGTAGCATGAGGTGGATATAAAAAAAATAAACTTAATAGTTTAATAATGGAAAATTAAATGGAGTGGAAATAACCCCACCCTTTAAGTTTTGGCAAGAATTTATCTTTTATACACGTCAGTCAAATTCAATTCAATTTGAGTCTTAATTATAATTACGTCAAACCGAAAATTGAATTTAAGTTCGACTCAATTAAGACTTCTATCTTAAACCTACAAACTAATTTTTATCTATCATGTTCATTGTGATGTCATAACTTTTTTTTTAATTTAGTTATTTTTTATTATTTTTACAATCAATTTCACTTTGATCGTAAAAATAATTATAATCACTTTGAATACTAATCATAATCAATTCGAATTGATAATCGAGTAAAATGAAATTTGGATGAGGAATTTTGATTATTTGATCAATAATCTTAAAAGAGTCTAAGCCACGAAAAATTCAAGACAAATAATAATAGCCCCTTAATATATAGATATATCACATTACACAATTCGAATATTATAGTATTTTTATTTCAATAAAAAATATGACATATATTATAGTCATTCGACTCGTTTTGAGGCAAAGAATATTTATTTAAGGTCCATTTGTTTATTTAAATTTTTAAAAATAATTTTTAATTAGAATCATAATTAACGACCTAATTAATGTATAGTGTGAGATAGAGAGTTATAAGATAGAAGTCTTAGAATTGTAGAATGAATGAAAATCTTACTCAAAATATTATGGGGGAGAGGACTTTTTATATTAGGACCGTCGGATCAATATTTCTTCAAGTGATCTGAGTCGCGAAAAACTAAAGACAAAAGAATCTAACTACTTTATTATATAGATTGTAACTAATTGGTATAACTGATTAGTGTAATTGTATTGCTGTAACGTTGATATAAGGAGAAAGAAAATAAGGAAATAACAAAAGAGGGAGAGAGAGAGAGAATAGGGGAGAGAAATGAAAAAATTAAATCAATCTTTACATATTTAAAAATAAATAAATTACCAATATGAGAGAAAGAAAGAGATAGAGAAAAAATAGGGAAGAGAGAGTGAGAGAGTAATAGAGTAATAAATAGTCTTTTAGTTTTTTTTCAAAAAAATACACTTAGGATCAAATAAATTTTCTTAATATAATTTAACTCAAATAAGTTTAAAATTACCCATTTTTTTGGATAAATTCTTGAGGTTTGTCATTAATACAGACAGACCCCCTCAGGTATAAAATATAACACCACGACCCACTAAAATTTGATATAGTCTAACATATGGCCCCTTGGTGTTAAAGTCCGTCCAAAACACCATTAAATCTCAATGAAGTCATCATAATCTTGTAACAAAATCCTTAAATTACACCTGAAATATCCACCATTAAATCAGTAAATATCTGCAAAACCCAAAATTTTTGAGTTCGTAGCAAAATCTTACAAAGATTTGCAGTCGGTTTCCTTCATCGTCTTCCCCCTCCCCCCTCTCCTCTCTCTCTCTCTCTCTCTCCACCACCAACACTCTCATCTAGCCCCTTATCTCATCTTTTTGCCGCCTCTACGCTCCTCCACTCCACCTCCACCATCCCTCTGTCGTCGCCGCCACCACCACACCACCCATTACGCACACGCAACTTCACCCCACCACTACCCTCTCTCAGAAACACTCGCCCACAAACAACCACGGGCACAATCTCCACCATGGACGAACCTTGGAAGCACCGCTATGTGGCCCACCCACTACCACCATCACATGACGAGAATCTACCACTCACCACCACTAATCCACCTTTGTCGAAGCCAATTCCTTAATACCACCTCAATCGACCGACTAACCCCTCAACCACATCACTAATTTATCTTCATGAGATTCATCCATAGAAATGCAATTGAAGTTTTCTCTATTCAGTTGGCTTAGCTGCAATTGTGGCCCTTGGGTTTGGGGGCTATAGCGAGGTGGAGGTTTGCTGGGGGATGGTCGTGGTGAAGAGTGTAAGAGAGAAGGGCTTTGCAATGGTGGGTGGGCAAAAAAGGTCAGCAGCAGTTTGAATGATGAGGGGGTAGCGGGGTGGGTTGGCATGGGTGCTTTGCGACTTTTGTTTCTGTGTGTATGGTAGAGAGAGAGAGTGAAAGAGAAAGAAGGCTAACCGGTTTTACAGCGGGTGGGGTGGTGGTTTTGGGTGGTTGATTCGTTGCAATCAGTGGGGACGAATGGTGGTTGTGGGTGTTGATTGGTTGCAATCTGTGGTAGTGATTAGGTTTGAATTAAAGTGTTGAAAAGAAAAAAAGAGAGGAAGAGATTTTATTGGGTTTCGATTGGGTCAGTTAGTTTGGACTTTTTTGGTATGGGTTAGTTTTTTTTTTAATATTTTTTTATCAAATGGTAGAATAGATATTTTGCAACTTTTGTTAGGGTTGTTAATTGGCGGTTACTGACAGGGGCCTCATTGTAATTTTACAAACGTGAGGGGGTCTGTATGTTTAAGTGACAAATATTAGGGGGTTCGAATGTAATTTACCTTTTTTCTGGGGTGACTAGTGGGCTTGAACCTCGAGCCCAGTACAGTAGACAGTGTCACTACAGATGGAAGGATTGTAAGGCAACGAAAACAATAATCTGGCCCATAAGCATCTTGTTCAGAACGCTCAAAACCGAATCTCGAGTGTTCTTCATTTTCCAAATCGTAAATCCCTATTCTTTCTTTAGCTTACTCGCAATCAAACCCCGCCTGAATATCTTTTTCTCTTCCTGGGATCTGAAATGGAGTTTCATGGAATGCCCACTTTCCAGAATTGATTGGGTAAGCAATTTTGGGATTTTTTTCTTATTTTCTTGAACTTTGTTTCTGTTCTTGCAATCATACTATGGAACCACCCAATTCCAAACACGGGTTTTTCCCAGATGAAGTTGTTCTTCAAATTCTTGCTAGATTACCAATCAAATCAATTTTCAGAAACAAGTGTGTATGCAAACTTTGGTACAAATTGGCCTCAGATAAATATTTCATACAACTCTACAATGAATTGTCTGTTAGGAATCCAGTGGTACTGCTAGAGGTTACCGAGTCATCTGAATCAAGATCAAGTTTGATTTGTGTTGATAATTTGAGGGGTGTTTCCGAATTTTCATTGGATTTTATTAAGGATAGAGTGAAGGTTAGGGCGTCTTGTAACGGCTTGTTGTGTTGCTCTAGCATCCCTGATAAGGGTGTTTACTATGTTTGTAATCCCATGACTAGAGAATATAAGTTGCTTCCCAAAAGCAGAGAAAGACCCATTACCCGGTTTTATCCGGATGGTGAAGCTACTCTTGTTGGTTTGGCTTGCAATTTGTTGACGCCAAAATATAATGTTGTGTTAGCGGGATATCACCGGACATTTGGCCATAGGTCCAACGGGACTTTTATATGTTTGGTGTATGATTCCGAGTCAAAAATATGGAGGAAGTTAGTTTCATCGCAAGATGATCATTTTTCTCATATGAATAGGAACCAAGTTGTGTTTATTAATGGCTCGCTGCATTGGTTGACGGAAACTTGCTCTTCTGTACTTGTTGTTGATTTGGATTGTGATATTTTGAGGAAGATTTCATTGCCGGATGAAGTTAGGTGTGGGATTGGTAGCAGAGTTTATTTGTTGGAGTTGGATGGGTGCTTGTCCATAATCCAGATTTCGGAAGCTTGGATGAATATATGGGTACTAAAAGACTATGAGAGGGAAGAATGGTGTATGGTGGATAGTGTGAGTCTCAGATGTATTCGAGGGATGGTGCCAGGCATTTTTCCAATAAGTCAGACCAGTCAGTATGTTTTCCTTGCGACCCATAAGCAGGTATTGGTGTATCAGCGAAACAGCAAAGTCTGGAAGGAGATGTATTCTGTCAAGAACAGCTCTACGTTGCCATTGTGGTTCTCAGCGCATGCCTTCCGGAGCACAATTTTTTCTTGTCACTAAGGTGGGGTTGGTTTTCATATTTGTTTTTGGTGAACTTCTGTACATAGAGGTGTTATTGCAAATGATTGCTACCCTTTGGCCTGAATGTCAGTTATGGTAGTTTTCTTTTATGTATGCTGTATGGAAATTGGCTCCATACTTGTGGATTTCATTTGGATCTTATCACTATAAAATGCTAAATTGGTAGGGCAATTTTTTTGCTTTTATTTGTGTTTGTTAAATCTTTGCCAGGCATGCCGATAGCTATCAGAACTCATAGAGATTATTCATTACTAGTTCCATGGCTCGTACCATTTAAGGCATACACTACTCAATTCTAGCGCTATATCACAGTGTTTTGATCTTTGGCTGTGAATACCTTTCCACCATTCTACCCTATCATCTAGTGCCATAATATTTCTCAAAGTTGTGGATCGATCTCTGTTTGAAGCATGGAGATTTAACTTCTGTTAATTCTAGTGTTCACTTTAAAGCTTGTTGGTTCTGGTTTTCAAACCACCTGCCTCTATTTACTAGGTTGACTTATCAGCACATTATGTCGTGACTGTTTAGCACTATAATTCACTGAACATTATCGGTTTTGTTGTCGTGTAGATTTGTTGTTTAGTTTCTTTGTGATGTGTCTGCTAATACTTTGCAGTGCCTTCTCACTGCGAAGGCACATATGCTATTGATTTGACACTCATGTCCAAAAATTCATTGATAGCTTTTGGCTTTGGCACGGTGGTGATGCACAATGTTTGATTAGCTAGGCTCGTGGTTTGTTGTAAAGCAATGGCTTTTCAGCAGCAAGAGGAGGTATGATAACAAGTCGCTCCAGTCCACGGGGAAGAACAACAAACAACTCTAACAAAAGCAATATCCCCATAGCATCCAAGCCCCCTAAGCCCCTTGGGAGAATACCTTCTACTGCAAATGCTACTCAGTTTCCTTTGCGGGTACTTGGGTGCTATTTTTGTGGTTGAGGACCATAAACATGCACTCCAGCCATTCACACCACACTCCCCCAACAAAAAGAAAAGCAACAAACAATAAAAGGGATTCCTCTTTCTATTCATCTTCCTGAGTACCTCTCACCCGCTGAGTATCGTGAAGATACGAGTGTGATTGCCAAAATATTGTTGTTGCTCCTCTAGCTTATAGGTCTCTTACTGTGTATGCCTCATGGCTTAAGAGGATCAGATTGGAGGCTTCCAACTGTTTGTTCTCATCTGTCAACTCAGAATCTTTTGGTACTTGTAGCCACTTCTAAGTTTTACATCTGATGGTGGAGTCCTTGTTAGTTGTTCCATTAGGTATGCAGGTTGTATGGCTAACACTAGATTAGTCTGGCGAATTGCATGGAAATGTGATTGACTTTCACTGTCAACCATTCTTCCTATTCAGAAACAGGAATGCTATTTAGTGATAATTTTCTTTTTGTGAAGTAAGTTCATATATAATTATTTGCCGTATATTTATATGATCGTTTGAGGAAATGGTCACGTACCCTAAAACATATTGGGAGTAGTAGACCTTAGTATGAAACTGCAATCTGGTTATTGGCTTGGATCTGGTTCATCTTGCTTTTGATAATAGAGAAGGGAATTGTTCCGTAGATTCTTAGTTCAATTGTTCCGTTGCATTTGTGTTGTTCTTGTTCCGTTTCAAATTTATAATGCAATAATAATAGATTCTTAGTTCGCTTATTCACAGAAATAGTCTCTCTGTATGCTAGAATAAGGCGATAGGATTGCATAAACCTGTCCCTCTCTTGCCCTTGCAGTGAGTGGAGCATTGTGCACTGGCTGCCTTAAGTCGCATACTATGTGCTTATCAGTAATTATAGGTTCTTATTGCAAAGTTTGCAAACATATATGATACATGTGAGAGTGATATTGACATACAGGTTATGAATGGAGTTTCTGATTGGTCTGGATTGTGGACACTGCCTCAGTAGTTCAGCCCAATGTTCCCCTTTTAATTTTTGCTTATGCATCTATGTAGATCATGAGCTAAGCCAGGCCTCTTTATGGTCAGCCATTTCATGCAAGAAGGTAGAAACTATTGAGATGAATGACCAAAGAAAGCACCATAATAATCTTTTACTAGGAATTGGTGTTCTACCATTATTCGATACTTAAAAAAAAGATCAAAGTAATTAAGAGAAATTTTTCAATACAAAAATTTGGGTATTTTTTTTTTATTCAACAGTCAAAAGTGTTTAGATCAGTTTATGTGTACCTCAACTATAGTCCCCTCTTCAGAGGCAAGTTATCCACATCAAAATTAGAGTATTTACGAGTTAAATCTCTTCTGGTCTGACCCTAAACCAAGATTTGAATTTAAGACGTCTTAATTTATCGTTCGTCTCTATTATCATTTGAACTAACCCTTAAAGTTAAAAAAAAAATATGGATAATTCACTTTATTTAAGACAGTCACGAAAAAATGTGGTGCCGATGTATTTTAGGGGCAGTAAAAACTTCTCTATTTTTTCTCCTTAGCATAAGATTCTAAAATTCTCAATTTATACCCCCAATGATTAATTTTCTTATATTATACTATCAATGTCCTAAAATGATTATAATGTGACTCTTACATTAACTTTGGTTACTATTTTTGTCATATGTCGTTGTAATTAGTGTACGGTTTGAATAGCAAATTTGACAAAAATTATAACGAAAAGTCATATTACAAGTATTTTATACTATTGAAAGTGCAATGTGGAAAAATTAAGCATCTTTTGTTGATGTGTTAAAAATGATTCTCTCGTTAATGTCGTATAGACCTTAGGCAGATTGGGTTATGAGGGTTGGGTCTGAACCACATTGCTAACTCTAGTGACTGCTGACTGGTCTAGTTCGTGTGGGTCAGTGTCCCCCAGTAGACCCAGAGAGACTGCTATTTATGTAAAGTCACGATCTTACACATTAATAAATTGAACAAAGACTTAAATGGACAACAAGAAAGTTAGTAAAATAATGACAAAAACCAAAGCAAGACAATGTGAGTGGGAGGGAGAGAAAGAGTTGAAGAGAGGCGATGAGAGTGAATGAAAAAATAGTGAAAAAAATCAAAAAGGATCGTAACTTTTAAAACTAGAAGTCATTATTTTTAGATTTTTTTAGAATGATTTGTTATATTTTAAGACTTTTTATAAGGTTTACGTAGCCTTGTGATATTGTTATATTTTAGATATTTTTATACGACTTTAGATAGACTTATGAAATATATTGGGCCTTTTACTTTGTCTATTAAAAAATGCCTCATAACATAAAATTGAACTAAATGCTGAAAATTAAATTGGGGTCATATAATTTTGGGGCTCTAAGTGGCTATTTTAAGGGTCATTTGGAAGTCGGTATACGAAATTAGACTTAACTGCCAAAAAATACATAGAAAAAAATGTTTTGTAAAAAAATCCACTTAAAATATAGAAAGACTTGAATACCTTTTTATTGTAAATAAGTTTCTTAAAAACGATTTTTGAAACTAATCCCACATTTAATTATCTCTACATTATCCGATGTGTTTGTCTCTCACGTCTCTTATATATATATATATATATATATAAAGAGAGATATGAGTTCTAAAAATAAAAACCTAAAATTTAGGAAAATTAAAATTCATAATAAATCTTCTCTATTCTTTTAGGGATATGTTTCAAAATTTTTGAAAACTTTTGAAATATGACAACTAAAATTAAAGAATTTTAATTATCTATCTTAGAAAGTACTAAACTTAAATCACACAGACACACACACACATATATATACATATAATACTACGAAATCACACTATGAAATTTAGTTTCTATTACTCCTACATTGTATTGATACACTGATATAGTTTAAAGGGGGTTTATGAAATTAAAGTATATCAATATAATGTATCAAAATAGTGTACGAGGAATATAAATTAGAGTTTAAGAATTACATAAATTTAAAGTGTATCAAAATAGTGTAGGAGTAATAAAAATTAGGCCTCATAATGTGACTTCGTAATATTATGTGTGTGTGTGTGTATATATATATATATTAATTATAAGAGAGGTATTTTTAATAGCAAGGATAATGACAAAAAAAAAAATTAAAATTCAAAATGACTAAGATATACACAATCAATGTTAGATGTAAATTTTGTGATAATATAATTCTTCCACTATATTAGAAAATCTTTAATACAATAAAACAAAATCAAAAATCAACTTAATAGCCAAAAAAATATGCATGATTTATGGGAGGGCAAATATGTCAAAAGAAAATCATAAAAAATCAAATTATGTACTTAGACACAATTAAGTTCTAAAAATAAGTACTTAATCACCTAATGATGCAAATCCATAAGATGTTCAAGAAAACACAAATTCGAATATGTGAAAGATAATGGAATTGACTTTCTATCAAGACAAAGATTCATATGGAACCTTGTATTATTGTATTTTAAGTCAATTTGCTAGTATTAGTATTTTATATGTCCTTTTAATATTTTTAGAGTCAGAGATATTTTTTATAATTTCTAAAATTTCTAGAATAGGTCATATTTTTGGGTCAATCTAATCTTATACCAAATTAATGTAAGACAACTTTGTAAAATAAAAATAGGAGTTGTTCAGGGACTGTGAACTAGGAATCACTCATAAAGTTCGATAGGCATCACACCTATGGGGCTAGAAATCACTCCTAGGGTTCGGTAGACATCATATTTAGGGTTAGAATTGCATCACACAACTCAAGAATCATGTAAATGCTGAAAATTCTGAATATATCTCTCTATCTATTTAATTAAAACTAACACTAACTATATATAGAGTTTCAAGTACTCTTAATCCCAAAAAATAAGGAATCTAAAGTCTCTAAGACTTCAAAAACTCTAGATCCCTAAAAATTAGAACACTAAAATTAACTAGAACTAGAACTATAAATTCTAGAATATTCAACACTAGAATTTGACCAAAAAATATGACCTGATTCAGAAATTTTAGAAATTACAAAAATACCCTCGACACCAAAAAATATTAAAATGATGTATAAAATACTAATACTAGTAAATTGACTTAAAATAAGACTTAAAATACAATAATGCAAGGTTCCATATGAATCTTTGTCTTGATAAAAAATCAATTACATTATCTTTCACATCTTTGAATTTGTGATCTAATCTTATGGACTTCCATACTTCGACACTTCAAAATTCAAGGTCGA